GAAAGAGAAAGAAAGGGAGAAAGAGAGAGAGAGGAAGAGAGGGACAGTGAGAGAGAAATAGAGAGATGGAGAAGTACAGAAAGAGAGGAAGAGAGGGACAGCGAGAGACAGACAGAAAGAGGGAGAAAGAGAGAGATGGGAACAGAGGGACAGTAAGAGAGGAATAGAGAGAGGGAGAAAGAGAGAAAGAGAAAGAGAGAGAGGGAGAAAGAGAGAGAAAGAGGAAGAGAGGGACAGCAAGAGAGGGAGAGAGATGGAGAAAGAGGAAGAGATGGACAGTGAGAGAGAAATAGGGAGATGGAGAAGTACAGAAAGAGAGGAAGTGAGGGACAGTGAGAGAGAGACAGAAAGAGGGAGAAAGAGAGAGATAGGAACAGAGGGACAGTGAGAGAGGAATAGAGAGAGAGAGAAAGAGAGAAAATGAAAGAGAGAGACAGTGAGAGAGGGAAAAAGAGACAGAGAGGAAGAGAGGGACAGTGAAAGAGCAATAGAGAGAGGGAGAAAAAAGAAAGAAAGAAAGAGAAAGCACTAGTGTTAGAGAAAAAGTGAGAAAGGAGAGCAAGAGAGAGGAAAATATACGGAGTGAGAGGGATCAAGAGAAAGAGAGAGGGAGAGCAATAGAGTGGGATAGAGAGAAAATGAGAGAGCAACAAAAAGAGAAGCAGGGACAATAAAGGAATAGAAAGGGAGCAAGAGAGGGAGAGGGAGAGAGAGAAAGAGAGAGGAAGAGAGGGAAAGTGAGAAAGTGGTAGAGAGAGGGAGAAAAAGAAAGAAAGAGATAGAGAGAGAGTGATAGAGAGAAAGTGAGAGAGCAAAGAGAGGAAAAATGTACAGAGTGAGAGGGACTGAGAGAGAGAGAGAGAGAGAGAGAGAGAGCAAAAGAGGGTGAGAAAAAAAAAGAGAGAGCAACAAACAGAGAAAAAGGGAAGTAAAGGGATAGAAAGGGAGCAAACGAGAACGAGAGAGAGAGAGAGAGAGAGAGAGAGAGAGCGAAAGAGAGAGCAGAAAGGAAGAGAAAGGCAGTCAGAGAGATAAGAAACATGGAAATAGAGGTTTTGAGCACAGAGACTAAACACAGTTAGCAGAGCGCCGACTGCATCCACTGGCATTCACAGCTCTGCTGTTGAGCTCTCACTCCACCTTATCAGTCAGAATGGAGTACCAGTACATTTCCCAGGAAACTGGCCTGTCCCTGATAAGATTAATTCCCATGGGCTCTACCAAACAACTCTTGGCTCAGGCTTCACAACAGTGTGCACCATCCAAAAAAGGCCAGATTAAAATTCTCAAGCCTGAAAGCACGCACTAGCCACACCATCCAAAGAGGAAGACTCTCTTGCAACTCACCAAAACTTCCAGCATTTCTGAATACACTTATAATGAAATAAACAAGTGTACCATAAAAAGATAGCAGATACACAGCTTTCCTGTTCTAACTTCTGCATCTTTGCTTAAAAGGAAAAGAGCTCAGGTCTGCAGCCAGGTAACAAAAGGCTTTCTTTCTTTCCAAACGGTCCAGAAATATAACTCATAAGCACGACCTCGGTGGAAAGTACTGATACTGTGTGATGTGAATGACACCGCAAGTTCTGTATGACTCATAAAAACACATTTTAGGGCTATTACAGATACGTGTTCATAAAAGTGTAATTATGTTTCTGACGAACATGGCTGGCTTCTTGCTATAGAAATGTAACCATGGAAACTGAGTCAGTAAGTGAGGAGGCCACTGAGTGGCCAGTTTCCCATTGTGAGGAGAGGGACTGAGGCGTGTTGGGTAGGGGCTATATTTTGGTAAAGTGGGCTACTGCCCACACATGTGTCAGTCAATGTGCCCTACTTGTCAAACATGGCCAAAAGGAACCCACCACAGCCTTGTCTGGTTTTATGTTAGGAATTTAAAACGACTGACTCGAGTTGCAAAGTTTCGACATTGTATTTACAAAAAGAGCTACTGATTCTAAATTTGACAAGAGAATAAGGTATGTGTACCTAAATGGGTGAAACTAAAACATGTTCTCAACAACATTCAGCTCTTCATGTTGTGGTCGAAGAACACAGAGAGAGCTAATATTGCCACCTAGTGCTCAGATAAGTACAACACAACATATCACTGCAGATTTCTGCAGATTTGTGCATGTAAATAGAGAATTTAGGATTTGATTAAATGGACTGAATGTTCTATTGCTTTTATGTCAGAATGATAAAGAGGGCTGCACCTACCATATTTCTTTAAGAGCATGATCTAGTTGTGTCTGATAATCTAGTTGTGTCTGATAATGTGCAGTAACTTGTTTTACAAGCTGTAGCTTGGAAGTTGAAAAATTTTATCTGTCAAATCAGCTGACAGAGTGCACGTCCTAAGAAAGATCACCTGCACAGCTGAACTGATTTAAGATAAGCTCACCTGCTCTGCAACAATGCTCACAGCCAAAAATAAATAAATGAATAAACAAACAAACAAAGAACAGCCCTAGAACTTTCTCTCCAGATGAGCCAGTGTCCCATTTTGCAGCTCGGAGAGTGGAAAGACGTGTGCAGATGAATTACAGTGCGGAGCTGCAGAGGTGGGAAAATGCAGGCTCATCACATTCTCCTGCTCTGCTGGAGGGAGAGGAGTGGGGACTAATTAGGCTGACTGCAGATCAGTCACAGTGACACTCACTCTCTGGAGCCCTGACCCACTTTCCCCCTCAACAAGGAATACACATGCAAGCAGGGGGGAAACCCTGCTATACACATACAAACACATGCACACCCACCCACGCACACACAGTCACTCTGAACTGCATTCTCATGCTGCCATGCAAAACTCCTCCTACTCAATCACACAGGTTCAGCACACTCGCCCAGCCCTCTACACCAGCTGGTATTGCTGTCTTTCTGGCCTGTTTGCACTGACTGAATTATTACAGGGCATAAATGTTAAGTTATACATTCAAAATGGAATTCCATGGATTTTCCATGGATTGACGTAAAATGTGCCATTCTAGAGAAATGTACTGAGTCAGAATTCTTCACAGCAGTGGTGATTGGACATCTGAAGCTTCTAAAAGCTTCCTTAGAAAGTTACTACATGAATGGTAACAGATATGCTGCCTGATGGCTGAGAAATGAGGCAAAGGTTTTTGGGCAAAAGTATATTTTTTGAAATCCATTCATGGTGGGTAGGCACATGTAGGGAGCTGCAAAATGGTCATCTTATTTTTTTCAGATTTACCACTATTTTACCACCATCAACATTACATATCACTGCTGTTGGAACAAAACCTCGTATCTCCTCTCTTTTTCAGTTTTGACATAATTTGAAAATACCTATTGGCCTCTACATTGTAAATTTCATGAAGAATGGACCAACAGAAATGGCCAAAATACACTTGGAAAGAAGTCTGGTTCCAGTGACATACATTAAAAGTAAAGTATGTTTTTCCTTCTCCTGTAAAGTTATGATTTTTTTCAAGGTGTTGCTCCGGCAGCAGTGATATACAACTCTGAAGACATCTAGGTTTGCTGGTCATTTCGGATGGTAAATTAAATGGCTATATTTTGTTGTAAACATTGTGACCCCTGGTTCCTATCACCACCACTGTAAAGACATTGAAGTCGAATTCTTTTTAATGCACCATTTCACATCAAACTGCTCTGAGCAACTTTGCTTATATTTTAGTTATTTAATTATCCAGAAATTTTAAAAAATTGTTGAAATTTCATTTAAGGTTAGGGATGTGTGTAGGTTTAACAGCAGTTAGGCCCAGTTATAATGACGTCAGTGAAAAGGGTGCGCAAAGACAGCAATGGCAGCGTGAGGGTGTGTTTGCCAGTGGGTGTGTGTTGGTGTGTGTGTGCTGAACGTGCATGGTTAGTATAAGTTTCTCTACAATGCACCATTTGAATCAAACCATTCTGAATGACTATTTTTACGTCTGAGTGACTAAATTATGGAGAAAAATCAGTAGAATTCCCCTTTAATCTCAAGAAACAAAAAAAATTGTTTTACTTTTCAATTTTTTAGAAAAGTTTTTCTTCATGGGGTCCAGCCAAATCCTCCCACAACAGCATCATCATGAGGAACTAAATGCACGGCTATTCACACGCACATGCGTGCACACGCACACACACACACACACAGACACACACACACAACACGAAGAGCTAAACAGGTAGCCACCAGTCACCCTAACCTTAATCTTAACCTCAGAATCCAAATTCTGATCACTGTTTCATTTTTTTCAAACAGCAGTTGATTTTTGATACAAGAAGCTGGTCTGTGTGCCCACAACTTCACGTGTTTTCATAATTTCCATCGTCATAGGAATTTTGGTCCCCACAAAGAGCTCAAAACATGGCCACATACATTCGCAAATCTTCCATCTTTGTTTTCAATAAATATAAAGGTCAGCGTACAGAAAAGTTTCTGCTGTTAATATAATTAAATGCACAGAATAAATTAAAATAAATCTAGCCTGATGGTGTGGAATGTCAACAACTTTGGCTTTTTATTCCTTTCAGAAGAACAATACTTTTGCCTGAAGGGCCAACACTTTCAGTGTAGTGGGGCATTAAATCTTTAATGATATAATTCCTAGATAATAAAAGTGCATAGGGTGAAGGATTTCTGAAAGACAGTTCAGCTTATATGCAGAAACTACAGTTCAGAAGACGCCTGATGCAGTGTATCTACATTGTCCTCATACCCATCATTCCCAAACACCTTCGCTTTCAGGTCAAACGACTTGTCAAGGAAGACGTCCTCTAAGCAGCAGAACTGCTTCCGTGGTAGCAGTGCTGAAAGATAAGTGAATAGCTACTGTAACACTTTCGTTTCCTTTATATGTTCTTTTCAACTGAGGAGTTAACCCTGGGCTTATTATTCAGTTATAAATCTTAAGACTCTTATTATTCAGTAACTAGTATGTAGTTATGAGAGCAAGGGCATAAAATGAGATTCCACATGCAGGCCCTTAGGGTTTAAGGGGATAAAAGTCAGAGTTCATCATTGATTGAGGTAGGCATTTTTTTTAATCAAAACACATTAAAACACGAATTAATTCTGATTGTATGCCAGTTTTTATTGCAACATCTAGATAAACATTAAGTTGACTAAGAACATATTAAAAAGAGGGCAGGATAAATTCCAAATCTTATTTAAGATCTGGGTGTTATGGCATAGTCCTAAAACCTGTTCTCGAACCTGTCACACAACATGCATTACTTGTTAGGTAAAACAACATAAAATAAACTTTAATAGTCTACTCTTCTAAAGTCTATAAAATCATTCAGGTTTCTCTGATTTGACCCTGAAGGGAGAGCTTTTTTTGCTGTAATGTAAAACCACTTCATACAGGTTCTAAAAGGAACCCTCAAGGGGTCCTCTGGCACGACAGAATTCCAAAAAAACTCTCGCCTTAGACCAGCGGTCACCAAACCTGGTCCTGGAGATCTACCTGCAGAGTCTAGTTCTAACCACACCTGCTCCAGGAACTTCTTCAGAACTTCTTGACTGGTTGGATCAGATGCTTTAGTGTTAGGTCAGGTGGGGGCAGCATGTTAGACGCAGGTTAGAACTAAACTTTGCAGAAAAGTAGATCTACAGGAGACGGGGTGGTGACCCTGCCTTGGAGAAAGATGAAATATACAGGATTTGAGTAACCCTGTCACTGTTAATAGTATGAAGCACCGAACATCAGATGAGAATATCATACGACCGCATAAATATAGAAGTTCTAGAATAAAATGGTTAGAACAGTTCAACACCTTTTAAATCTGTACTGCACACTGTGTATGGTAATTCGCTCTGTTGAAAGACTGAAGAAGCCCATGCTTGAATTTTAAGGAATCCTTAAGGAAGCAGTGAGGTGCACATAAAAGTTATTGCACAGGAAGAATATATAATAGTACACATGAAATAAGAGAGATAATGCAGTTGTCAGTGATATAACATTTATGATCCATAGTGTTTAGATGCGTCAGCTATCAGGCGGCATGGATCCACACTTCATTGTGTCTGTCGATTAAGATCAACATAGATTCATATCCAGCCCCATCAAACATGTTCTCATCAAACAGCTTTCCTGCAGTCTGCAGGTCCTCCTTCAGCTTGTTCTTGTTCTCTATGGCATCAGACTCTGAGGCGACACCAGAAAATACCCTGATGGACATCATGAAAAAAAGTGTGTTGGAGAAAGAGTGCATGACTGAATCAACAGGAGTGGACACAGTTTATGTATATACATTATAACAGAGCGCCTCTACCTTGAAAACTGATTTGCAGTTTGATAAGTAAACTATTTACCTATTAATGTCCAACTAAATCTAGTACGATAAGGAAAAATGCCACACGGTATAATTTGATTTTGCACTGTAACTAATGAGAAGTCGGCCCAACTTAAAATTATAAGGTTAACTTATTACATTGCTTTTTTGAATTAACTCAACTTAAGGACACTAGAGTTCCCCCAGCTCAAACTGCTTAGTTTAGTCGATCAGTTCTCCTCTCTTATCTAGCTCTGCATCTCAGTGAGGTAAACAATACTGAATTTGTCTTTTACTCTGTTTCTCCATTAGCTAGGACTCTTTCTGTCACACATCTCATCAGGCATCACACATCATTCTCCTCTGATGAATGATGGACAGATGCACCGCATGTGACTATGCTACTTTTCAAAGTTAAAACAACAAATACTTTCTACAGTGTATTAAACAATTATGGACACAAAATCTGAGCAGCTTCAGGGGCTCCTGAGTGGCGCAATGGACTAAACCATCACCCCAACAGGAGATTCTGAGTTTGAACCCCAGCAATGCCATAGCCCTCCATAATTAAATATCTAAAAAGAGGATTATTGCTGCTTTTCCACCACATGATACAGACTCTACTTGCCTTTTTTGGTTTACTGTTAGGCAAACTATTTTTGGTATCACCTCCACTGATGCTCCAAGTAAGCTGAGACACTACCAAAGGTGACGTGGCTACTGGTCGGAAAGAATCATCACTATCGTCCTTAACACATATGCTAACGTTAGCTACCTGGTTCTCATACCCTCTTGCGTCACCTTTGAGCAACTAGAATCGTCCGTCGTCTGATGTAGTATTTCCCAAACTTTTCTGCTTTTTTTTCAGCAGTCTTTTTTCTTGCTGCCATAAGTAGCTTATGAACAAAATTTGTCTCCTTCATGTCCTAGAAGTTTCATGTGGTGTCGCTATGATGATTAGCTACATTGAGGGGTACTATATCTGCAGTGGAAAATAAAGTAATTGGTACCAAAATAGAGTCGGGTTGAGTTGAGCTGTACCATGCAGTGGAAAGCACCATTTGTGTGGAAAAGAGTTCAAGTCAGAAGAAAATTGAGTAAAAAAAAATTCTATGGTCGTGTATGAACATCTAACTGTACCCATCTTAATGTTTTAATTTTTGTTTTGTTTTATTCCCAAACAAAATTTGAATTTCTTTTGTTTTATGATCAAAAAAGCCCCATGTGCACAAAAGATTAGATTTAATATGAAATATTAGGTGCTAAAACTTTTTTGCATTTTAGCCAAATTCTTTGATCAATTAAAAAAGAAAAAAAAAAACAGATTTGTGCCCAGGCAAGCTGAGAGAACATATGAATCAAAGCAAGTTTCTAAGAGTTCTAGCGTTTTGGAGCGTTATGGCAGTTGTTGGATCTACAAAAGATTATTTTGAAGGACATCAAATCTATATTTGGTTTTAAATGTAACTAAAAGGAAGCCTGACACTACATCAAATCTTAGTAAATACTAAATATGCCCTTTCAATCCTCAAAATATAGCTTGCTGTAAATCCAGAAGTATGATTTTCTTTATCCTGAAGTAAACATTGTTTAAGATTATATGAGGTAGTCAATGCAAAGTAGTAGAGGTTGATTCTCCTAATACATTGTTTGATTCAATCCAAAAATCTCATAATATTTCTGGGTTTTATTAAATCACCAACAATTTGGAACATTCAAGAGAAGACCACTAAAGAACAAAACATATAGCCTACCCTAACTTTAAATAAATAATAATTTTAAGTGTTAATTGTAAAATGAAGAATGAGTTTTGTTACATTAGTAACGGAGTGAGAGCTCAACGGGCTGCACCGGCAGTGGTGGCAGCTGGTTGGGGATTGGGGGGGGGGTGAGTATTGCAGTACCCTTCTTCCGAAAGCACAATAAAAACGTCCTCTGTCTCGTGTCATGGTTTTGGGAAATGGGACTGCGACACTCACCCCCCCCCAACCCCAACCAGTTGTTGAGCTCTCACTACATTACTAAAGTAACAAAACTCATTTTTTTCAGTTTCAAAATTATTACACCCCTAGAAAATAGGTTTAGGCATGTTAATAAAAAAGCAAATACAAAATGTAACTATTTGGTTTTGAAAAGAATTCAATGGCCTAATCCTTAAAGTGTATTTTTAAGTAAATTAACTTCAGTCAATATAACACTTCTTGTCAGTTCTGGTCTTTCGAAGCTCTTCTGAAGCTATTCAGATTACACTGTGCACAGGTCGGCTTACCTGACATAGATTGTGCCACCAGGTCTGGTTATTTCCTTAATGGTACCATCATTCGGCTGAGGGAGGACAGTGTCTGGGGCGACATAGAAAGAGACCGACACTTGACGTTGCCCATTCTCACCGGCCTCATTCACTGACACAAGCCCAGGTCTAGTTGTGGGAAGCACCCTTTCTAAAGAGTGAAACACAGCAAGCTTTTTAAAGGTGCTGTCTCACAGGATTTAAACACATCTTGTATCTGAACTTACTCTCAGTATTCTCTCCTTGCGTGTATTCATAGAGTTTCCAAAGTCCAGCTGCTACGTCGCTGTTACTGATGCTTGCGATGTCTGTTGTAATCCACCGACTGGAGGTATAGACGCGCTCCTCAAAAGACTGTTCAAACATCAGAGACCAGGATGAAGAACCAAAGGCCATTACTATATTTACACTTATAGTATTGACTGTGTAGACAAATTTATATCAGAAAGAAAGATCATCTGAAGGCATACCTCATACGTGTTTACCACAGTGAACTCTGGACATTCATATCCATGGCAAAACAAAGGTGCTTCCCAACACTCTCCAAGAGGGAGAAGAACCACAGACAGAAGGCAAAGAGCAACAGGCAGGGTGGTCTTCATCACTCCACAGTGGCTCTTCGGGCAACACAGTATTTCTGGATAAAACCTCAAGGTGGACAAACAGGCAGATTATTGAGGATACACCCTCGAACTTCGACACAAACATTATTCATGCTCAGTTTTAATATCAAATTTGGCTAAATGCTTTGCATGGTTGCTTAGAGGAAACCTGAAAACCAAAATAAACAGGCCCACTTTCTGAAAATGCTGCTATGGGCTAAGAATGTCATCACATTTTATTACATACTCTACAATAAGATTTAGCAGTTTTTATAAATAATATAGTGCATGTTCTGACTATTAGGCATTGTACAGAATAAGAATAAGAATAAGATAAGAGTAGAAATGGTATAGTTACCTATTGTACCTGTGTCTGCTACAGCACCTGGTTGCTGAAGGAACCAATGCTGATTGTTGTCTTGAGGGAAAGGTGGAGAGTTTGTTAGCACGACTGGTTTTACAGGTTAATCCCCCAAGCAATTAACACTCATCTCAGTTACAGGTCTATAGATCTTACAGTACAGGATACTGGCAACAGAAGGGCAAACATGGATTAAATAATGGGGCTTTTCACTTTGGACTTAATTATGAGTAAAAAAATAAATAAATAAATGAAGATTCATCTGCAGGTCAAAAATAGAAAACTGTCAGGGAGACTCACCCCACAGAGACCTGCATTAGTCATTAGTTCCTCCGTTCCTGATTGGTCCTCCCCACTTAGGCCCGGCCCACTCGAGATCACCTGTCTCTTGTTTGTACTAATTACAGACCTACACACCACTTGTTTGCTTCTCTCCTTACAAAGTCTTGCCAAAGCATTTTTGAAATGTATTACCTTGTTCCTGGTATTAAGTGTTTCTCATTGTTCTGCTCCTACTGCTTATTTAAGAACCTAAAAAAAACAGCATGGTGCCAGAGCTCCATCTGTCTTCTTATAGCGGTAATGATTCATACATTTTTCAACAGCAGGTCAGATCAACGAACAAGAACCATCATCCTCACCTCACCAGAGCCTTTGGAGTAAATGACAGTGAGCCTGCTGACCTATATCTTAAACAACACCCTATTCAAACCACCACATTTCCCAGCAGCCCCTGTGTGTGCTCTATTGTGTGCTCTTTCACTACACGACTATACACTATATTCACAATAAACAAGGATGCGTGCTCTCCTGCCCATTCAGTTCGAAGGCCATCAGTTCAAGATAGACTCATGAGGACAGTTACAGTGTACGCAGCAGCATTAAACATGGCTTACAAAATCTTGCAATGCCCCTGCTGATCACTGAGGGAAAGGGTAGATATACACAGAAATTGATCCTTTACAGGTTCTTGAGGAAAGGTAATAGTATACAGAACTGTAACAGCTGAAAGTGCTATTTGAATACATAAGTGGTGGCTGAGTTCTTCTCTGTGATGGAAACCTGTTGTATGCCTATATGGTTTTTTACCCTTCCCTGATGTATGGCCATATATACACATATGTCATAAAGGGTCCATGCATATATGTATACTTTTTTAAACCTTTGTGTGTGTATATATATATATATATATATATATATATATATATATATATATATATATATATGCATATGAATCAAACATATGCATGTGCTACATGATTGAATAGCCTACCTTTCAGTATACTTATAATTGTTGCTATGTTATCTTTTTGCTTTTAAATATTAAACCATTTAAATGAATCAGTGAGCAATATTTTTATTTATTTCACGTTTTAATGCTTTATTGTATAGCGTACAATATGCATGTTTTTCAAGTTTAATTATGTATGCTTTTATATTTTTTTTTACTTTATTAAGAAGTATGTGGAGAAACAAAAAACATGCATAAGAAACCTTACATAACATGAATTAGGCATATATAAGTAATATATACCATCCATATACGAATAGTGTTTTCTATCATAAGTTCGTGGTACATGGTGATATATGGCTGAAATATATGTCATATATTTAAATGTATATGTCTATATGTGAATAATATACGTTGGATAATATAATACAAGATAATACAGAAAATACCAGGTAATACAAGTTGCTGGACAATACGCATTAAAATGAATAACTGACATAACCTGCAGTTTAAGGGGTTAGAGAGCCTTTTAAAATGGTTCTATATAGTACCAAAAGGGGTTCTGATACTTACAAGTCACCTTTACAAGAACCTTTTTTGGTGCTATGCAACCCTCTATGCTAAGAGTGTACTGTCCTTTTATTAACATATTTATTGAGATATTATTAATAACACTGACGAGAACAACAATAACAACAGCACTAATAACAATAAAGCTCTGTATGTTTATATATCTATGTTTAATCAGATGAATATGTGTTTCAGATGTTTAACATTCCAAAGATCTTGAACCCAAACACAATACAAACGCCAGATGGAGCTAGATCACTAAAAAGCCATCTCCATAAGGGTAAAGGGGGCGTGAGGCATATGTGGATGAGAGAGACAGAGAGAGAGAGAGAGAGAGAGAGAGAGAGTGTGTGTGTGCGTTAGGGCGCGTGCGCTGCAGTCCCGCACCGTGCCCCCGGAGCGATGGTGCTTTAGCGGTCAGAAAGCCCGGTCCTACACGTAGCTCCATGGCGGGAGAGGGAGGCACGATAAGCGGCGGCAGACGGGAGAGGAGAGGGGCTCTTCCGTAGAGACACGGGGCTTTTTCCCACAACAGGAGAAGAAGGAGAAGAAGCGGCCAGCCGGCACTGGGGGCTTTGAGCGCTGCAGTTTCAGTATGGATAGCACCGAGAGGGTCCGCACGAGCGTCTCGTAATTCCGGCTGGTTCTTCTGAGGAAGGAAATTTCTGGAAAGTGTCGGCCAGGGCGCCGGGTTGCTCCTGTCTTTCAGCCACAGCTCAGCCTGCTGGAGCTTCCTGCGCGCCGGCTAAAGTCGGTTAAAGAAGGATGGAGAAGCCCAGCCAAGCTCAGCCGCAGTCAGCCATGTCCAAAAAGGCTGAAAGTGGTGCCGAAGACCTGTCTAAACTCACGGACGAGGAGCTCCTCAAGTGGAGTAAGGAGGAGCTGGTGCGGAGGCTGCGCAAAGCCGAATCGGAGAAGATGAGCGTCATCATGGACCACAGCAACCTCATCAGAGAAGTGAACCGCAGGCTTCAGCAGCACCTGAACGAGATCCGGGGACTGAAGGTATCACTGGGCTAAGGTGGATGACGATGCCAGTGCGTGGCTGCATAGAATAGCACCACTACATCTATAGGCACTGCTAATATATGGAGGGGTTTTTGGGTTAGGAGGAACATGCTAAAACAACCAAGATGACTGTATCAGCCCTGATGATGTCCAATGCTTAACACTTCAGTTTATGACGAAAAACCGTGAGTTCTATGAAATTATGTCTGTATGAAACTTTAGGATAGATGCATGGGCACAGGTGCTTACGAGTGCTTAGATCATAAAGGGATGTTGGCTAAGATGCTCTGCTTGTTCTCTTTCATGAGCTGGATTATGAATGCAGGGAAGTTTGGGGGACGTGAGTGATACAGAGCCAGATGAGTCAAAGCCAGTATCCCAGCTTGTTTAGTATTCTGAAGGTGTGTGAGGCAGTTTTCAGTCATAGATGTTCTGAAGGGCAGCAATGACTCAGTGGGTTGAGGCCTCATGCCAGAGATCAGAATGTGGAGGAGCTGGAGGTTTCATGGTAGTTGACCTAAAACTGGAGGTCAAGTGTCCTTTCTCTGCCATTGTACCCTGGAGCAAGGTGCTTATGCCCAAAGCTATTGTAGGGATATTGCATTACAGCTTGTGTCCTTTACACCCACCTCTGGGCTGTGGCCATGGAGAGGAGCAAATAGAACTGCTGAGAAAAAATAAAGATTAACAGTTCCTTGCATAACAAAAGAATAAATGAACACCACACAGTTGACTAAGCAGCCTTAAGTTAATGAATAGCCCCATTAATGTGTAACCAGTAACACTTTACTGTAGGGCAGTGTTAATAAGGCTGCATGACACCTACATAAGCTCATCCTGACAATTTATTTAAACCTACATAAGCATTGATAAAGGCTTATTCCAACATGGGCCATCTGTCATAAAGGCTGTTTTTGTCATCTCTGATGCCAAGTTAACATAATACCTTTTTTTTCTCACCTGGGGTTGTGTCATGATAGCCTTCTGGGTGAAACAACATAATGTATTATAACAACTGACTGATGTGACATAGCTTAAATCTTACAAACGGCAGTTGAAACTCACTTTCCCTAATGCTCATTTTTCTTCAGCCAGCCTTATATGGCAAGCTATGTCGTATTATTAGCATTATATCACTGTGACATACTCTGAACTACAAAGTCAATGTCATTTTAATCCAGAAAGTGTCATGACACAACCTAATGTCATGAAAATATCAGTCACCTGACGTAGATGTTATGTCAGCTTAATATAAACCTTTATGACAAATAACACCTATTAGTGTTTATAAATGTTTATGTAGTTGTCATGAAAGGCTTTTTAGGTGTCATTCAGCCTTATGAACACTGCCCTACAGTAAAATTTTACAATGTAACCTTATACACAACTGCACATTTATATTATATGTATTCTGTGTATGTTCAAGGCATGAATCCTTCTCAGGTCCACTGGAACATCAGACATGACAATAGGCTTTTTAGAATTCTGTGCAATGCATTTCATTGTATGCACACATATTTGTGGATGTGTATATGCATATATGAAACCTTAAAATGTTTATGTGTGTGTATGAAATTTTGAACAGAAAATAAAATTATAAATTTATGTGACTCTTCTTGCAATACTAATTCTGACTGTTTTAAAGCGTCCATTTGGAATTTCTCCAATTGGCAGGTTAGTTTTGGTACTGCAACAAGAGGAATATTTAAATAAGAACACACACACTAACATGTGGAATATCTACATACTTTTGCTGGTAAAGAGCTAAACCAGGGGCAGCCATAAAGTTGTTTTGCCAATTCCTGGCTGGTGTTTTAAAGACACAGAGAAATGTGTGTGGAGAACAGCACATTAATGTCTCTGTTCTGTATGCTGTGTATGTATCGCCTCTCCTTTGCTGCAGTATTGTTAAGAACTTCTTAATAGCTGTAGTGTTGCACTGAATTGTCCTTCCTTTGACATTGCTGTTGAGTCGTTCCTTTCCTTGCCTTTGCAGGAGGTGAATCAGAAGCTGCAGGAGGACAACCAGGAGCTGCGGGACCTTTGCTGCTTCTTGGATGATGACCGACAGAAGGGGAAGAAGGTCTCGAGGGAGTGGCAGCGCCTTGGCCGCTACAGCGCTGGGATCATGCGCAAGGAGGTGACGCTTTACCTACAGAAGCTGAAGGAGCTGGAGCAGAGGCAGGAGGAAGTGCTGAAGGAGAACTTAGAACTGAGGGAGCTGTGTCTCATGCTAGATGAGGAGAAGGGCACAAGCACAGGAGGATCAGTGGGCACCGGAGCACCAGCAGGTTGTCGGAACTCGATCGATAGCCAGAGCAGCCTGTCCCATGCCAGTGTGCCTGGGCCAGGGCTGCTGAGGGACGTTGGGGATGGGAGCAGCACCTCCAGTGCAGGCAGCACAGATAGCCCCGATCACCTCACACACAAGCAGCAGTTGCTGGCCGGTTCGGCGGGGGGCAGCCCAGAGCTCCTCCACAAGCCCCGGTCAGGCTCAGGGGAGGAGGGCCCAGGCCCGGAGCACTCTGGTCGCAGACGGAGCACCAGTCCGGAATATGCTGCTCACACCTTTCCTCAAGTATGCCGGCCTCGCTGCGGCTCCTTCTCTAGCCCCGACCACAAGGGTCTGCGAGGTCTCAGCCCAGAAAAGCTCATCAAAGGCCTGTCTAGAGGCAGCCCAGAGCAGTTCTCCAAGCACTTGCTGGTGTCCTCTCAGCCTCCTGGAAGCCCTGACCTCTTTCAGAAGCACAGGGGGAGCATCGGGAGTGCATGTGGAAGTCCTGAGCCCAAACAGATTCTGTCAGGGACGCCTGAGCACCTGCAAAAGGGTCGTGTGATTTCAGGGAGTCCTGAGATGCTGAGGCACGGGTACAGTGCGAGCCCGGAGCATGGCAAGTTCGGAAGTCCAGGCCGGGAAGTGGCCCAGAGGAGGTCAGGAGGAGATGAGATGTCCCCGCATCACCGGAGCATCTACAGCGGTATGAATGGTGGGTCCGACTGGAGCCTGCTGTAGCACCCCACACTGAGGGCCATTTCAGTACACTACATGCAAAGGGATGGTCATCAATCATCATGGAGGGCATCAATAAACAAAAAACAAAAAAAAACACCCTATAGTCAGGCAGTAAACCATCCCATTCAGTAAGCCATGATCTACATTTAGTTAAGTTTTCCTTTGCGCAGCTCAGCCGGGGCCTTGAGGAGGTAGAACAGGCCGTTAGTTTCTACCAGAATGCCTGATCTCTGGTAAAGGTCGGTGGTGTCCAGTCTTGGTTCTCAAGGGCCATGATTTCGGCAGGCTTTAGCTGCTACCTGTCAATCAGCCTGTGCTTTTATGCCTCGGAATCCATTTACGCACTGGAGCCCAACTGAGGGAACTGTAACCATTCACAAAGCATAAAGTTCAGATGCCCAACAAAAGGCCAGAAGACAGTGCTACCCAGCAGGACCAGGAGTGGACACCACTGTTTTTGCCATGTTCTTCCAGGTGAGTGGAGTGGCAAACTGAAAACTGCAGCAGCAATAGCACTGCAGCAGTTGCAGTAAAGAGAAACAGGGTCATCGCTCTGCTCTCTTCTCCCGCTCTCTTTTGCTTTATTTTCATGACACCCTCCCCTTTCATTAGTACCTCAGAGATTTTGAAGTCCCCTTATGGGAATAGCTGTAGTTCATAATGAATTCCGTAAACCGAATGTGAAGTGTGGGAAGCCAAGCACTGCAGTACATGTACACTACACTAAAGTACTGCATACACATGTTGTTATGCATGGCCACTTGCACATGCACAAACACACAGCATTTTGCTCCTACAAAGTTTGCTTTGTAAGTTGTCCATCCATTCACACAAACTTGCCCCCTGTCATTCAGTTTTACACCTTGCTGAAGAGAAGCCTCCACTAGTTTTGGTGTTATCTTAACATCAAATCTAGTTGTTCCAGCCCACTACATTCAAGTCATAACTGAATAATTACTAAAATTTCCATATAGCCCAATGCACACATACATAGTTGTGGGTGATATGATCAAAACTTTATACTAAAGCTGCTGCTATCATTTATTTTAGTAATCATGCAATCTACCTACTGTTTTGGCAGTTTATCAAGTCTTTTTAAAAATAGGCTTAACTGACTAATAAAATACTCTGCCATGCCTTTTAAAGATTCCTAAATACTTTATTAAAAAGGATAAAAAGGAAGCCTTGGAGAATACATAATAAAAAAATTGTGCCATAGAAGTATGTCCTTCAGCAGTAGAATTTAAAATATACATTATCAGAGTATGTGCAGGCATCAGCAAATTCTGTTTAATGCTTTTAAAGTCATTTTAATATCAGAATTTGACACAGGATTTAATACTACTTAAGCCAGGTCTACTTAAACATGGACATTTGAAGCTTTTAAAGCTTCTAACAGACATTCAGGTGTCAATTTCTTTACTTTGCATAATGCAATTTTACAGTCAATGGCTCAGTAAAGCTTAACTGAATATTATTGGAGTACTCTGTTAACCTTTTGACTGTCTGCTGAGCTGTTCAGCAAGACCTAGCAAAACCTTTTAGTTCATGTACATGAAATATGTAACAGCAAACATTTAATCTTAATTCATATTCTTAATGCAATTTGGAAGCACAAACATATGTGCATTAATGAGATCCTGCTGCTGGTGGTTTCCTCTTTTTCTAGAAGAAGAAAAGTGACTAAAAGAAGTAGCACTAACTTGTGGAGTTTGTTCAGATTGCTGAACACATCTTTATAATGACCTTCAAATGACACCAAGCCGTTCATTTGGCAGTGACATTCAAACAGTACCAGGCCGATTAATCAAGAAAGTACATTTTAATCGAATCGAGTCAACTTTGAGTAATTGTGACAGCCCTGCTTCATACTTGTGGAATTCAACAAAATCACTTGATCACCTAGGCAATTAAGGTTTAGTCCTACATGTAGCTTACAAGGTGACAGGTTAATTGTTAATGTCTGTGTGTGATGGAACAAATGAGGCTATATTCACATCACTGACAAAATTACATTAAGGTATAATGGATGTTGCCATTCCAGTGATATAGAGTCTCTGTCTCTATCTCGATTTGCTTTTGTCTCTTTGTAAATGGGATAATGAGTGTGTGCAGAACAAAGAAGAAAAAATATCAGGCACTGCTGTTGGTGTGTGGCAGGCATTCTCTCCAGCAGCAGGCTGCTAATGATTTCCTGAAGGGGGAAAGTGCTGACTTGTGGAGCTAGCCAAGGCCACGGGACACTTCCTGAAGCAGTGCTGTTTACCTTACGCTGCGTTTAAGAGGCAGATAGCGGCAACTAATTAACACCTGAGTTCACTGCACTGGAAGACACATCCAGATGCTCTGTAGCGACTGATGTCTCTGACTAGAGGCAGTTGTCACGCTGGTGGAAGATGGTTTTGACAGTCAACGTATGGAATCTTAACATACATGCTGGTAACATTTGACCTGGTGGACGTAGCAGTGGAGGTGGCAGGGCACAGTGGTGGAGCTGACTGGAGGTTCTGTGCTGTGTAGTGTGTTTCTAAGCAGACAGTACACTTTGTACAGAGTGGAAAGCTTTGCTGCAGATGGTCTTTACTGAGATAAATCCTTCTGATTGCTGTTCGTTCACATCTCTGACACCACCAGCTAACGAGGGGAGAGTGTAAGCAGAGAAGAGCTGTTCGCATTTTCTGACTCTCTCTCTCCCTCACTTTCTCTCTCTCTCTGTCTCTCTCTACTCTGTCTCTATCTTGCCCTCGTTCTCTGTCTTATCTCAATTTCCAAAAGTCTGTTTCACAAATTTGCAGATCCTATTAAACTGTTTCACAAAGACACTTTAGCGTATTTGAGCCACCATTCCAACTCGGCACTCTCTCACTTCTTTAGTCTTAAGCTCCTTCAGAAGTTCATTTCCAGAAACTCATGCCCCCCAGGATCTACAGTCACTGAATAGTTTCTGACTTGGCTATACCTCTGACAATAGCAGTCTACACCAGCCATTTTTTGGTCCATTTTTGGCCTAACAGAGTTTCATCAAACTAGAGCGACCCCAGCCACCTCCCTCCCACCCCTTTCACATGCATTTCTGCCATTTGCTAAAATCCTGTGCCAACAATCCAAGCAGGGAATTACAGTGTGTCCATGTTACCCGTGGCCAGCCAGGCTGGATTATCCCATAAGAGGGTTTGGACAGACAGATTTCTTTTTATTTTTCCCCTCTATCTCTGGGGCATGGCTGCTTTTAGCTGCCCTCTTGGTTTGCAGCATCAAGCTCCGTTTGGCTGTAATTAATAGATCATATTCAGCACACATTAAATTATAAACAGCCCAATGGATAATAATCTAGGGACAGTAACTTTTTGATGAAACATATGAAAATATGTACCTGTTTGACGGACCATTTCCAGTGCTGGGATCTCGCTTTATTCTACTACTAGTTAATATACGGCTGGAGAGTGGAGGCCAAAAAAAAGCGGTCAAACATAGCTTACTTATTATTTATTGAGGATTTTATGATGATCATGAATGTATGCTTAATCTTAGTAAATATACTGTGGCATTGAGCCTTTTTGGATATTTTGGCCCTATTTTAGGGGGATTTAGTTTGGCCATAATGTTATAATCATACTACACTCAGTTTTAGGTTCAATTCAAGTTCAGATTTGCCTTTTGAAATGTTGCCCTCCTGCAAAGATATGTAATAGAACATCTCACCCCTCCTTCCACCAGCCTATCAGTGTTGCATTATCATAACTCCCTTCTTAGCCAGAGTGAGCCAGGAGAGCCAGGTTTGCTATCTCCACACTCAATCCCATCCATACTGCTCTCGGAGCCCCAGGGAGAGCCAGCAGCCCAGCTGGATATCTGCCTCTCTCACAAAGGACACTGCCTGTGACCTTGACCAGCTTCACCCTAAATATAGCTCTACTTCCCAGGGCTGTCCTGTTGGTCTGTTTCCGAGGGGTCTCTGTGTGTGTATGTTTGTTCCCCAGGGCCTTCTGTGAGGAAGCTCAAACTGTCTGTCAATCAGATGGCCTGTCAATGCCTCATGTAAATAATGAATAATGCCAAAGATGGGCTGCATTTGCATTGGTAATGTGACAGAGAACAAGCCCTGCTCACTGTTTACGCTTCATGCTTCGTGGGCATTCGGCGTAGTTCAAGGCTGATGTGACAGTGTACTGTTTTGGTGATTTGCAGTAATTTCATTCGGAAGCTAAGCCTCTTGCTGAATTGAAGAGGGAGGATTGGTTTCTGCGTGCTTGCTTTAACATTTAACAAGAATTTAATTTAATTTCTCCCTTTCATTTCTCATGAGATCCAGCGGCTGGTGGAGAATGCGCGTCAGGCCGCCCTTTTTGCTCCCTTTGACTCTAACGCTGAAATCCACTTCTGAGAAGAAGGCCATGCTGGGTGCTGTGAGGTTGTGTAACTGTTATGGAGCATTTCTCAGAAGCGTCGCTCTCCAGTACTAAATTAAATCTACTCATCTCTTTGTGGCCCAGCCCATTGACCGAGCTTGAATGTATCGGCATAATTAACGGCTGTTTGCTTCTTTCACAGTTAAATGGAAATTCAAATGCAGCTAAGCTGTTGCCCAAATAGACAGCCATGTATTCCCCAAGTGATCCCTGTTTGTTGTCGCTAATGCCGTGAGCTATAAATATTCATGCTGACTGTAGTATGTGAAATGTCTGCATCTGTGCTTGCATGCAGTGTAGAAAAGGAAGAATGGATGAATGCATTGTGCAAAGTAGAAGGCTACAGTGTCTCATTGATCCTTCATTAGCTCAGCAATAAGCAATTGATTCAGGCCTTTCTTACCTCATCACAAGACCAAGTCATGTTAACACTACTACATGCTGGTGGAGGATAATATTCAGGTGCTATTAGGCCTTTACAGTGCCCTTCACGCTTGCTGCCGATGCAACTCTAGCTATTGCTTTTTCTAGTTCCCTGGTGTACGCACTCACCCTTACAAGTGCA